AAGTGAATGTGTGAGCTCCTGTTGGAGCAACCCTGTGAGTTCCTTTGGAACGTGCTCTCATGGGCCGTAGCAAGCATGCGTTTACCACGTGTCCGTCGCGCGGCAGCTGGGCGTGGGACTGGCGCCTCAAGCGCCAGCGCGGAGCCGCTCGGCGGAGCCTGTGGCGTTTGTGGCACGGTGCAGCCAGGCTGGCAGTCCTGTCAGAACGGCACGCGGTACATATGCACCGTGGGCTTCCTCACAGGCAGGCGCGTGGAGCCGTGCTTCCCCACCACCAACCTCGACGTCCCTCGAGGATGCCACGGCGAGGGTGCTGCAGGTCGCGGGCCTCGACTCGGATCCGGAGGCCGAGAGGCTGGCGTCCCGGGTGCAGGCACTGGCGATTGCCAAGAAGGTGCCCGCTACTGTCAGCAAGCCCGCCCGCACGGACCTCAAGGAGGCCTCAGTTCGAGTGCTCTCGCGAGAAAGATGCCCTCGACCGCGCGGCCAAGCAGGGGGAGACTGCCCAGTGGCACCTCGACAGCGGGAGGAAGCGCTTCGAGCTGGCTGCGGACGAGATGGCTGAGGCCGAGGTCAACCGCTTGCAGGCTGAGAAGGCGTTGGGCACGGTGCCCGACGCAAAGCCCGCTGATGACCTCAACGCCTTCGTCGTGGATCGCGAGCTCTTCGAGTCCTTGGACGAGCTGGAGGCCGATGACAAGAAGGCCCTGGGGACCTTCCAGAAGCAGATCGACAATATCACGAAGCAGGAAGCAGGCACGCGACAAGCAGAAGGAGTTCCAGGCGTCGCTGGACAAGGCCAGGGCGGCACACAAGCAGGCGGCGCCCAAGCGCGGGCGGTGCGACGAGGACGGCAACTCCGCCCCAGGTGCCCCGCCATCCTCGGCAGAGGCTGCGCCGGAAGGAGCCGCGGCGGCTTCCTCGGCAGCCCCCGAGCCGCTTCCCGAGGAGAAGGGAGAGGAGTTGCGCGCCCGGCTCCTGGCCGAGGCGGGCTTGCAGGCCGAGCAGGCCGAGGGGATGGGCGAGGGGCCGTCTCCCGAGCGCCCTGCCGCCCCTGCTGCCCCGCCTCCTTCCGGACCCTCGCGCGCAACCGTGCCGCCAGGGAGAATCGGCGGCTGCCCGCGTGCCTCGTCGGTCCAGGGGCGACGGCTCCCTGTGCGTCTTCTTCGGCGGCATCGCGGAGTGGGGCCCGCGGGCCGCGCGCCCGGGAGCAGGAACGCGGCGCGCCGGCCCTCGTCGAGGCGAGGCAAGGGGGGTCGGATGCCACGCCCGACATCTGGACTTCCTTGGGCGAGGACGGCTGGCGGCTCGCGTGCTCGGCGGCTCGCCCTTCTCGGGCAAGCGTCGGAGAGCGGGCTCTCCGGCGGCGAACAGGTTCTTACTTGGGAGCACGCTGCGACGACGAGCTCGGAGAGTGCCCGCTCTGCTGCTCGCGCTGCGGGCCGTCGAGGCCCTGGTCGCGGGTTCGCTCCGTCGGCCTTGCGCGCGAAGGGCGGCAACCTGGTGTTGATCGCAGCCTGCCTCCAGCCTGGCTTGGGGGCCAAGGGCTGGAACAATGGCGTGCCGGTGGCGCCGGGGTCTTTCGCTAGGGCCCTGGCTGACCCGTGCGTCGCGCTGGCGGACTGGAACATCGAGCCAGGCCCCTTTCTCCGCAGAGGTTGGCCAGACAGGCTGGGCGCTCGCATGCGCGCGCCGAGCTGCGCAGCCACGTGCGAGAAGGGGCCTGGGCGCATGTGCGACTATGGGCTGGTCAGCAAGGGTTCACCCGAAGTCGACACGCAACCGGAGTTGGCTGCCCCTTGGAAGACGCGCTGTGGATCTCGGTCAAAGTCAGTGCAGCACGCGCGCACAGAGGGCATAGGCGCCGCGCTGTCCTTCGTGACTTGCCTGCGCTGCCTGCGCGAGACCGCCCGAAGGCTCTCCCCGACTCGCTCAGCAGGAGATCCAGGAATCGCGGGGAGAAGGGGCAGCGGCGCACGCACGAGCTGCCAGACGAGCGCCGGGAGGCCGTCGACGAGCTGGTCCCAGAGGCTGTTGAGAAGGCCCCCGAGGTCCCCTCTGCTATCGCTGAGGATACGCGGTGCGAGGCTGAGTTGCAAGTACGTTGGGACGGAGTGCCTGACAGATTGGAGTTTGATACGCAGGAGGACCGGTTCGACACTTCCTCTGCCGTTGCCCACGGCGTGCGCTTCATCTTCACCTGGCGCCCCGATGCACGACGGTGCATTCACCAGTCTTACGGCAGGAGGGTCTCTGCGTTGGGGAGAGCTGTTCGTTTGCGCGAATCAATTCCTTCTGGTCAGTGGCCGTCTTATTCGGGCAGAGCGCGCGGACCAGGCGTGCAATGGAAGAAGGTGCGTTCCACGCCTGGCAGAGTCCATATGAAGAACGAGCAGGCTGAATGGTGGGGCATCACCATCACCTTGGTTATTAAATATGTTGCGCTGAAGACCAATCTCAGCGACCCGGATCAGATGGCTTTGCGCGCTGCCAGGGCCCATGATATGATTGCGAAGATTGAGGCTGTCAGCGGGGAGGAGTATTCCGGCCAGGGAGCCAGGGCCACTGATATTGCAGACTGGAAGTGCGTGGTTTCCAAGCTTGCTGCTGTTCAGGTGGGGTGCCTTCCAGATTTGCTTGAACACGCTCGCAGTTGGGCTGATCTACCTTCTGGACGGGCGTCGGTATCTTCCAGTTCTTCCTTCATGGAATGGGCCCAGGAAAGATGGGAAAAGAAGCCAGGTGCCATTCGCAGGCATGTCATGCCCAGGCCTTCCACAGATTGGGAGAGCCAGGGCCCTGCAGGCAATCCGACCACCGATTCCCGAGCGATGCTGAAGGTCTGTCTACCGAGCGGGCTCGCATGCGGCGTGACCCCGTGGACAAGCCGCAGGACATTCTTGCTGGCATGCATCGCTGCTGGACTGCGGCTCAGGAGGACCCACTTCCCCAGATCATGCTCTTTGATTTGGACGCAGTCCTGCCGTCGACCCATGCCAGGAAGGCGAACGACGCCGACGTCTTGAGCCCACCTGACATACAACGGCAGCCACAGTGTGCGAAGGTTCAGCCGGCGGAGACGGTGGACTCTGTCGAGGCTGCTGGTGTCTGGCCGACTTCCATTTCGTCTGTCGTTGGAGCGGCCATACCCTCGGAAGCTGGGGGCCATCGCGTGCTGGGGCTGGTTCCTATGGTTCAAAAGATCTGGTGGAAAGTGCGTGCCAGGTGGTCGAATGAATGGTCCTCTCTTTGGACGCCCGAAAGGGGCACGGAAAGAATGGGTACAATTCCCAACAACACATGTTGTCCCAAACCAACAGCGGCCACTGTTGGGCAGGCGGCCTTCTGTTTCAAATGGACACAAGCCGCGGCGGCGCGGACAGCGAGTCCTGTTCAAAATGAACAGGAACTGCTGTTGGGCATTGTACACATTCTTTCCGTGCCCACTTCGTTCGTGCAGATCTTCCATGTCGGCGTTCTGGGACACGGCAATTGCGGGGTCGTCGGCGCCGCGAGCGGCCTTGATCCGCTCGGTCATGGATTAAAGCGGGCATTGTTTGTCCTTTGAACATGCGACCCTGTATCTTGACCTGACGAAGTTCTATGATTCAGCGAGCTTTGTTTTGTTGTTGGAGGCTGGGTTGGCTATTGGCTTCCCCCCCCCATTGTTTCATCGATGGAAGTTGGCCTCTATGCTTCGCCCCGCATGCTCAAGAAAGACCAGGTGATCGCGGATGACATTGCTGTGACTCGGTCGGTTGTGGCGGGCCCGGGGCATGGCGTTCCCCTGGCCAAGGTGATGCTGCGCCGTCTTCTCGACGCGGCTCACCGAGTACGACATTCAACTGGAGTCTGGAGCTACATCGATGAGACTGTTCTCAGAGGTGAGGGCTCCAAGCAGAAGGTGGTTGATGATGTCCTGGCCACTGCTGAAGTCATGGCGGATGGCCTACGGGAGCTTCGATTGCAGGTGTCGACCAAGACGAAGCTGCTCGCGAGCTCGGATGACATCGGGCTGGAGCTACAAGGTAGGTTGCGCGGCTTAGGCATCCCTGTAGATTTCGTGCGAGACCATGTGGGTTTAGGCTCTGATGTTACGGCGTGCCGTGCGGGAGCTAGTCGCAGGATGATGGGGCGTAGGGCTCACGCTCGAGTGCGCCAACGCGAGGTGGCAATGGTCCTGCGGCTGTCTCGCATCAGAAGGATTACGATGAAGCTCTGGAGCATTGGTGTTTATCCCGGAGCTGCGATCGGACGTCAGATCATGGGCACGCCTCCTGGGACGCCGTCAAGGGCGAGGCGCGACGCTGCTTCGGCGGTGGATGGAGCGAAGGCAGGCATGTGTTTGACTGCTGTGCTGCAGGCCGCGCACGGTGTGGCGGAGCCAAGTGTTGACTTGAGACGGCAGTTGCTCAAAGAGTGGATCCAGTTGGGGTTATTCCAGCCTGCTCTCAATCCTCGCATTACGAAGGCGCTGCCCTTGGTGTTGCGTCACGTCAAGAACGGCACCGTGGTGAAGTGGTGCGACGTCAAAGACCGATTGCAGCATTGCAGGCCACGTTGATCCAGGCAGGGTGGTCTCCTGAGTCTCCGCTGCTGTGGCCCAGGCCGCTGGCCGACGGCGCGATCGATGACTGGCTGTTCCCGAGTTTCGGCGATGACCAGTTCAGCGCGGCAGTCCTGGCGCTTTCTCGGATGATGAAGAGATGCTCGGCGCTTTCACGGATGATTGCGTTGCTCTCCAGCGGCGCAGGGCCGCTGGACACGAAGCCGGGAAGGACCTCGCGGATGGTGCCGACATGACCGCCATCAGAATCGAGCTGCGCAGGATGGCGAAGCAAGCTGCTTTCGACGAGTGGCCCGCGAACCTTGCCGTCATCGCGGGTGGGCAGTGGACTCGCGAGCGGCAGAATGTCGCAGGCTACGCCAGCCCGCCTATCTGCCCCAGATGTCGCAGGAGCCCCGAGACCCTCGCCCATGGGATCTGGAGGTGCCCTGCCAACACGGGGCACGGGGATTTCACGAAGACCGAGTTGTTGGTCCCCAGAGCCCCGGCTAGCCTGGAGGCCCGACTTGGCCTGCGGCTTCGGGGCGTGCCCCCATATAGGGATCTCACGGCGCCCAAGTCTGTGGAGACCCCTGAGGCTTGCAGGCAGATTCCTCTAGGGGCTGGTAGGGTGCATGATTTCTGTTCTGCTCCTGGAGGCCGCCCGATTTTCATATTTGCAAACGGCTCTGGGGTTGATTTCTCTGCGGGCCCACGGAGAAGGAGATGCGGCTCGGCGATTGGTGTTGTGTCAGGATCCCTCGTCGCCTGGTGCCTAGATCTTCTCTGGGCGTAGGCAAACAGTTCCCCGCGCTGAAATCCAGGCGTTCTGTCTCGCCCTGGAGAATTCGACCGGGCCGGCTTGCTGCGCTACCGACTGCAGAAATTTGGCTATTGACTGGCATGCTGGCCGTGCCAAGTTTCCTCGGGGCCCCAACGGTGACTTGTGGGTTCGTGCCTCGAAGGCGCTGGTTGCTCGGGGCCCTGGGGATGTTTCTTTACTCTGAGCGGCGTCTGATGTGCTGCCCTGCAAGGGCAACGCCAGTGCCGACACCTGGGCGGGGGCCGCCGCGCGGCCCAGGTGGGCCTGGGACTGGTGCGTGACGCCCCCCACCCCCTCGACTGACCTGTGGGATACGACGGCGGCACTGGTGCGTCGTAGAGCCTGCGAAATGTTTAAGAAATCATGGGTTAAGAAATTCATAGTCTCAGAACTTGAATAAAAGCCCAACATTTTTATTAAAATCTTAGGATTTACATTGAAACGTTAAGAATAATCGAGACTCTGGCCGAAAACTTGGGCTTTCTTAAGCATCGCCTAAGGTGTAGAGCCAAAGCGTGCGCTGCTGGTTGCGTTGGAGGTTGAACCGCGGGTCGGAGCGAGAGCCCCTTCGGCCAAGCAGCCTCGCCTTGCTGAGTTTAGTCCCGCCCTCCAGTCCAGTCAGCATCGTTTCCTTACTTCCGTTGGACGGCGCAGGTGTGAGCGCTGCAGAATCAATTTGCCACGATGCAAGGTTTTGAAGACCGCCTCGACCCAGTGTGTGGTTCCTCGCCCGGTCGCGCGCGTGCTGGACTTTCCTGAAGTTCGGTCCCTGCCTCTCGAGTATGGCGAGGGCTCCGGGGCGGTCGAAGGTGGTGTTTCCGTGGGAGGTGTGCTGCTCCACCCATCCCACGCCCTGGCCATAATGAACTCGTTTGGTCTAGTTCTTGTACGAGGTGCGGTTATACTGCCACGTCTGACGGCAGGAGGCTCACCAGTGACTGTTCCCCCCACCAAGAAGGGGGGGAAAGCTCGAGGCGAATTGAACGAGGCGTGTTCCCGTCCCACCGTGGACCGCCCGGGGCCATTTTGCCGCCTGGGCGTGTGATGCTGTCAAACGCGCGGTCGATAAGGCCCCTGAGGTTGAGTCTGCGCGCCGAAATAGCTGGGCAAACGGGTGAAGATAGCGGCCTCCCCAGGAAGGCAGAGCCTGGCCTCTTGGACGGCCGCCGCCCTCAGTCACGCCTTGTTTGTTGTATTGCTAGTTCGTTGCTCCCTTTCTGTCAAAATGTCCTCTTAGATCACATGTATGGCTGTCTGTACGTTTGCATGCATGCATGCATGCATGCATGTATGCATGTGTGTAGGTAGGTAGGTAGGTAGGTAGGTAGGTAGGTAGGTAGGTAGGTAGGTAGGAAGGTAGGTAGGCCGGTAGGTAGGTCGGTAGGTCGGGAGGTAGGTATGTAGCTATACAGGCATGCATGCATGCATGCATGTAAGTATGTATGCATGCATGTATGCATGTAAGTGTGGATGTGTGAATGCAGACATGCATGTAAGCATGTACATGTGCATGCGTGCATGCATGTATGTACGTAAGTGCGGATGTATGCATGCAGGTATGTAAATGTGTATGTGCATATTCACTAAAAAATGTATTATGTATCGCTCGTAACCAGACCGCCCCACCACGAGGACCGACCGAGAGGCGGCGGCAGCAGCAGCAGAGCAGGGTGGTGCGGTCGCACCTGGAAGTCGCAGTTCCGTGTGAGTGGGTGGAGCCCTCCACAGGGCAAACAAATACATTATGTACATGCATGTATATACTTTAAAAATGCCGCAACCGTGCCGCTAGACACGGAATGGGCGTGTCTTCGGGCCCTTTGCCCCATCCCTCAAACCCCAAGTCCTCTCTACGGGCCCCGGCCCCGAAGCCGCCAAAAATCTCACGGGGCTTGGCGCGTGCCCCCATAGGGGTTCTCGGCGTCTTCTCGCATGATTTGTTCGGGCCCAAGAGGGCTCCAGGGCGGACCAGGAGGGCCCCAAGAGGCCCCCAAAACGATCCAACAGGGCCACGAGACGCCCAATGATCGTCGCCCCAACACGCCCAAGAAGGCCCCAAGACAGCTGAAGAGGCCTCCGAGATGCCCCAAGAAAGCCCCCAAAAGTCTCCCCAAAAGGGCTCCGAGAGGCCAAAACAATTAATTTCCCATACTTAGGTGTTGCAATCATTTGGGGGTCCTCGATTTTTCGAACTCCCGGCTTTCCAAGGCGGCCCAAGAGGCCCTCAGGACCGCCCCAAGATGGGCCAAGAGGCCCCCAGAAGCCGCCCAAGACGGCCCAAGTGGGCTCAAAGACAGACTCAAGAAGGGCCTGAACACGAATCGAAAATCCGAGTCTTCGAGGCTCCAAGGAGGCCCCCAGGGGCCCCAAAGAAGCCCCCAAGAGACCCCCAAGGGGCCCCGAAGACGCCCCAAGAGGCCCCGGGCACTGGAGGGAGGGGCACGCCAGGACCCCCGCGCAGCGGAGGCCAGGACAGCGCGGACGCGGCGAGACCTCCGCTCACCAAGCGCGGTCGGCTGCAGAGTGGACCGCCCAAGCTGCCAGCCAGGCCATCGCGGCCGAGACACTGGGGCTCGGCTGCACGATGAGCTCGCGCCAGGAAGGGTTAAGAAACTCAGAGTCTCAGAATTTGAATAAAAACCCAGAACTTCTATTAAAATCTTAGGATTTACATTGAAGCATTAAGAATAATCGAGACTCTGGACGAAAACGTAGGTTTTCTTAAGCATCGCCTAGGGTGTACGGACGGCCCTCTCCTGCCCTGCCAGTAACAGACGTGCACATCTCAAGATCGGGTGAGGAGGAAGAGGAGGAGGACGAGGAGGAGGAGGAGGGGGAGGAGGAGGAGGGGGAGGAGGGGGAGTAAGGTCAGAGGGGGCTTCTGCCCTGGCGCCACCTCGAGGCGCGCCGCGGGAGCGCAGCGCCGGCAAGGTCGGCGGGACGCGACGAGACACCTGTCCCAGCGCGTGCGCAGCAGCAGCAGCGGCAGCAGCAGCAGTAGTAGGAGGAAGAGGAGGAGGAGGAGGAGGAGGAGGAGGGGGAGGACGACGGGGATGGAGGGAGGGAGGGAGGGAGGGAGGGAGAAGGGAGGAGGAGGAGGAGGAAGAGGAAAACAAATTCGGCTGTCTCTCTCTCTCTCTACTTTTTTCTCGTTGCCTCATTTTACACTACGAGCCTCGTCGCTTAGAATCTGGCCAACGCAAAGAGAAGGAATGAGGAGGGAGGGCGCCGGTCCTTGCTGGGGTACGCAGGGATCAGGAGGTGGTTGAAGCAGGTGTGCGCCGTGGGCAGGGAATCGCAGTCTGGGCCCTGCCGGCTGATCGTCAGCCTCGCCTCGGGGGCGCCGAGGCCCTTTGGCGGGGCCCTATCGCTGCCCGTGACGAACGTCAGAAGCTCCCGGCGCTGGTCCTGGTCGAGGCTTCTCCTCCCCCTCCTCCTCCATTTCCTCCACCTCCTCGTCCTGGGGCCTCCTCCTCCTCCTCCTCCTCCTCCTCATCATCATCATCACCACAACCACCACCACCACCACCATCATCATCATCATCATCATCAGCAGCAGCATCAACATCATCATCATCATCAGCAGCAGCATCATCATCATCAGCATCATCAGCATCATCAGCATCATCCTCACCCTCATCCTCACCCTCATCCTCATCAGCATCATCATCAGCAGCATACTACAATCAATAATACTAACAAATAAATAACAAGTGATAAACATATAAGTTAAAGCATTTACGAAACGAACCATGAAAATAGTCATACTCATCGTTGTCAGCATCATCATCACAATCAGCATCAGCATCAGCATGAGCATCATCCTCAGCATAGTGAGCATCATCATCACCACTGTCACCATCATTATCAGCAGCATAATCAGCATCATCAGCATCATCGCCGTCATCATGATATCATCATCAGCAGCATCAACCTCATCATCATCGTCATTATCATCACCACCACCATCATCACCATCATCATCATCATCATCATCAGCATCATCATCATCATCATCCCACCACCATGATCATGATCATGATCATGATCATCATCATCATCATCATCATCATCATCGTCCTCCTACTTGTCCTCGTCCTCCTTGTCCTCGTCCTCTCAGTCCTAGTCCATGATCATGATCATGATCATGATCATCATCATCATCATCATCATCATCATCATCATCATCATCATCATCGTCCTCCTACTTGTCCTCGTCCTCCTTGTCCTCGTCCTCTCAGTCCTAGTCCTCCTTGTCCTCATCCCTCCTCCTCCTCCTCCTCCTCCTCCTCCTCCTCCTCCTCCTCCTCCTCATCATCATCATCATCATCATCATCATCATCATCATCATCATCATCATCATCATCATCATCATCCCTCCTCCTCCCCCCTGGCGCTGCTCCTCGTCGAAGCTCTCGAGCACGATCTCCCAGAACCACCTGTGGCGAGGCAGTGGGCCCACGACGTCGGCGGGGGAGCGCGGGCGGAGGAGGGGTACTGGCTTCTCCGGGGCCGGCTAGTCCTGCTCCTCCTCCTCCGCCTCCTCCTGCTTGTACTCATCGTCTTCCTCCTCCTCATCATCGCCATCATCACCACCACCATTATCATCATCATCATCATCATCATCATCATCATCATCATCATCATCATCATCATCATCAGCATCATCATCATCATCATCATCATCATCACCATCAACCTCATCATCATCAGCATCATCATCACCTTCCTCCTCCTCCTCCTCCTCCTCCTCATCGTCATCAGCATCATCATCAGCATCATCAGCATCAGCATCATCATCATCAGCACCATCATCGTCACTATCATTATCATCATCATCATCATCCTCCTCCTTCTCCTCCTCATCGTCATCAGCATCAGCATCAGCATCATCACCAGTAACTTCATCATTATCATGATCATCTTCTTCATCATCATCATGATCATCATGATCATCATCCTCATCATCATCATCATCATCATCATCATCATCATCATCATCGTCATCGTCATCGTCATCGTCATCGTCGTCATCATCATCATCATCCCTCCTCCCTCCTCCACCTCCTCCTCCTCCTCCTCAACCTCCTCTTCCTCCTCCTCCTCCTCCTCCTGCTCGTCCTCCACGTCTTCCTCGTCCTCAACGTCCTCCTCCTCCTCCTCAACCTTCTCTTCCTCGTCCTCCTCCTCCTTCCCTTCCTCCATCTCGTCCTCAATCTCCTCCTCCTCCTCCTCCTCATCCCCTTATCTTCCTCATCCTCCCCCTTCTCCTCATCCTCCTCATATTCCTCCTCCTCCTCCTCCTCATCATCATCATCGTCAGCATCAGCATCAGCACCATCATCATCACAGCATCATCAGCATCAGCATCATCATAACCATCACCACCATCATCATCATCATCATCATCATCATCATCATCATCATCACCATCATCATCATCCTCATCAGCATCATCATCAGCATCATCATCATTCGAATCATCATCATCATCATCATCATCATCATCACCATCAACATCATCAACATCATCACCACCATCGTCATCAGCATCATCATGATCAGCATCACAATTTTCAGCAAACTCATGATGATCACCACTATCAGCATCATCGTCGTCACCATCATGGTCATCATCATCATCCTTATCATCACCATTACCATCACAATCAGCATCAACATCAGCATCAACACCACCACCACCACCGTCGCTATCGTCCTCATCCTCATCCTCAACATAATCGTCATCATCATCGGCAGCATCAAACGGAGCAGAATCATCATCTGCATCAGAGTGTGCATCAGCATCATCATCAACGTCGTCATCACCATCATCACACCCACCCTCATCACAAGAATCATCACCTGCAGCAGACCCAGCATCACCATCATCATCATCAACACCATGTTCGTCATCATCATCGTCATTACCATGGCCCGTTTTCCGCATCATCATCATCATCATCATCATCATCATCATCATCATCATCATCATCATCATCACCATCGTAATCATCATCAGCATCATCATCGCGCTCCTCCTCCTCCTCATCCTCATACTGCTCCTCCTCTGCATCATCATAATCATCTTCATGCTCGTTCTCATCCTCATCCGCATCATTATCATAATCAGCAGTAGCATCAACATCACCATCATAATCACCATCACCATCAACGTGATCAGCATCATCATGCTCAGCATCGCCGTCACTATCGTCACCATCATCGTCGTCATCAGCATCATCCGCATCCTCCTTATCATCATCACCATCACCATTATCACCATCACCGTCATCATCCATATATTCATCCTCTTCATCATCACCCTCATCATCATCATCATCATCACCATCATCATCATCAGCAGCAGCATCACAATCAGCATGATAGTCTTCAGCATCATATCATCATCCTCATCCTCGGCATCATCATCATCAGCATCATCGTCATCATCATCATCGTCATCATCATCGTCGCCATTGTCATCCTCATCCTCCTCATCATCGTGCTCATCCTGTCCCTCATCAGCATCAGCGTCAGCCACAGCACCGTCATAACCGTCGTCATCATCAGCAACGGCATCATCATCGTCATCAGCCTCCTCCTCATCCCCCTCCTCATCCTCATCATCCTCTGCATCCTCATCCCCATCCTCGTCATTTTCCTCATCATCACCACCATCACCAAAAACATCATCATCATCCTCATCATCATCATCCTCATCATCATCGTCGCCATCGTCATCATCACCGTGATAAGCATCATCATTACCATCGTCATCATCATCGTCCGTATCATCATCATCCTTCTCATCATCGTCCTCATCATCGTCATCATCATTATCATCATCATCATCATCATCATCATCATCATCATCATCATCATCATCTCCATCCCCACCCCCATCCGCACCAGCATCAACATCAGCATTAGCACCAGCATCATCAACATCATCATCACCAGCGCCATCACCACCATCGCCATCATCATCCTCATTCACAGCATCAGCATCGTCATAACCATCATCAGCACCATCCTCATCAGCATCATCATCATTATCATCGCCATCATCGTCACATCGTCACCATCATCATCGGCATTATCGGTGTCATCACCCTCATCATCGTCGTC